GAAAAAGAAAGAAAGATATTACTTTCACGAGCGATAGTTCAATGTAATTGAGACACGAACGTCGATACGGATATACGGCTGCGGAAATATTTAGACGTGTTTGTCGTGCACGACGTCCTCGGGATCAATAAAAGTTGAGGCGGGGCAAGGTTTGGTACGTCTGTCGCGTCGTTCCGACTCGGTTCTTCCAAATGATTCTCATTCGCTGTTCTTCATGTCATCGATAATTTATCTTCGAATAAATGTACAATTAATATTTTTTTTATCTTATTTGTTTGTATTGCAATACAAGCAATACATCGAAGAAAATAATTTTGTTTCAAATTTCTTTAATCCATTGATATGATTTATTATTATTAAGAGTTATTACGAGAGAAAGCATAATCTTCTTCTTCGGAATTTCTAAGATTATAAGAAAGTATGAATAATGAAAATTATACGAAATATATACAAAAATTTTATAGAAAAAAGGAAAGGATGTTCGGGAAGCTCAATAATTTCGTGACTCATGATCATCCCTTTTCGCATGTATATATAAAATATCGTATCTATCATTATCAACAAAAAATTATCAATTATTGTTCGATCGCACGATATTACTTTTGATGAAAGATAATTGTCGTAGAGTTAATGATTTTTTTAGCACATTTTTTTTTACTAATTTACAGTGGTACATTCGATAACGAACTTCAAATGAAATTCAATCAATATTCGTGACTCAATTTTATCGTGTGCGTCATTTCGATATCAAATATCTTTAAATACTTTGTTCAATTTAATTTCCAATTTTTAAATAATTATTATTTTTTTTTTTTAATAATTATATCAGAAAAACGAGACGAATTGATCGTAAATTTTCCAACGGATGTCTGAAATCAAAAGCACCGGCTTATAATAAGCTTATAATAGTAAACCATGATTAAGTAATCGTTCAAATTGTACATTAATTATTCTATTATTTTTGATCACGATAGATAGGAACGATGCGGAAGTCTCTTTTTCGCCGACACTGGTACGTGAACTTCTCGTTCTTGGTTCGTCTAAATTGGACGTGATGTCAGCGAGCGTTTCTACTCGTAATTGTACGACTAACGAAGGACAATCAGAGTGGAGCATCGTCGGATCGGTCTTATTCTTTCGAATCGACCTCGTGACACGTAATCAGTTTTTATTCACGCAATTGATACACAACTCCTTTTTGCAAAGAAAGTTTTTTATCTTCGTCTTATTTCCTCTCATTTCATTTTCACGTTGAAGCGTATCAAGCATATTTATAATGTACATTACTATGCATGTTACGTAGGATAGAGATTTGATTAATAATCAGGTATACATATACTATATGTATTTGTTCTTTTTTAATCTGTCTGAAGAAAAAACAAATAAAAGATGATCGATTCTTAAGAATACATACATTTTTCGCATAGATTATAAAATTCGTTAAAAAAAAAAAGTATCAATGCTTAAAACTATATAAGATCGAGATATGTATATATTTGTTTCTTTTAGTTAGAATTTACCTTGATAATAAATATGATCCCCCGTTATTGGTAGGTCCGTTATGTTTGCATACTGCGACTCGTGTCTATCAATGCGAAACAGTGTTTGCACGCTTAACCAAGTACATGCAGAAGAATATACACACACTGAGATGCGCGGGCGTGTACACTATCATGGCTGATTTTTTTCCTTCGAAACGAAGAGCGAGTGATCCATACATGGTAACGGTGAGAAGACTGGCTTACGCGTTGCAACGCGTAACCCACCCTACCTGCTCTCCTGTCGCCACTCGTTCGCCTTCCGTTCTTTTCTCCTGCTTGTAAGCTGCTTTTACACACAGCTATGCACACAAACGTGCATTATTATTGCCCATGTCGAATTAACTTGCCATAAACTTTTGCATGCACAATATTATTGATGATCAAAAAAAAAAAAAAAAATCGACAATTAATACCTGTAATTAAACAAGCAATAATGAGTATTATTTGAAAAAAAGGTTGAAAAATGAAAATAATTTTGTTTTATTAATATTACATTCAAAAAAATTTGCATGCCAAATAAAATTTGAAATATTGGCAATTGTGGTCTCGAAGGTATTTTTTTTATTAGATCCGCAATATTTGGGTGTGTACGTCTGTGACTCACGTATCGACTTTTCTCCCAGCCAACTTCGAACAAGCAGGGTGGGTTTAAGGCACACCCATCATCCAGCTAAGGGTAGAGAAAATACATATGTTGATATAATTTTTAAACTTAATTATAAGCATATATTTATATATATTTTGTAAAAAGAGAAAAAAAAATAAAAAATTTTATATTTTGTTAATGTATGTTAAAAAAAATTTTAATTAATAAATTATAATCTTATTAAAAAAAAAATCCATAAAAATTAAGAAACAATATATTGTACTTATATATTTCGTTGTAATTGTTAAACAGGTCAATTAATCTTTTTTAATTTGGCAACAATGATGTCATATATTTACTATTAAACTTACCAGATTATTAAATTTTTAAGTTATTAATTGGAATTAAATTCTATTAATATATATAAAAATTATGTATAGGTTAACTGGCTTACGTTTGGAAAAAGAATGTTCGAAATCATTAATTATCGATTAATCATTAAAATAAAACAAAAATCATAATTAAATTTATTGCATCAAAGTTATTATTTTCCACAAAAAGATAAATTTCAAGAATATCGAAAAAAAAAAAAGTTGAATTCGTGGGTCGACAGCATTGGCCTGCAATTTTGGCGAATCGAAATTTTGTCAACGATGTCACATCCGCAAAAGTTGGAGCGCAGAATCACAGAGCAGTTGGCAACGCTGCTGACGTTGGCTGGTGAAAAGGTGGCGGGGCTTAGACGTTGACCAATCAGAAGCGTTATTCGAATCTCCCCACGTCGCACCCCGCGGTCGTGCCGAAGCTTGAAAATCTGTAACGGACGCCGCTTCCAGGGCATATTCGTTTCTGGGCTCTCGTGACGAGTTAGCGTGTATCTCGTCGTTAGTTCGATAATCGCAGTATACTTCGAAAAAGTCCAGAAAACTACCGAGCAACATGAGGGAAATCGTCCACATTCAAGCTGGCCAGTGCGGTAACCAAATTGGCGCAAAGGTAAGTGTTGAAAACTGTTCGAAATAATTGAATTCGCGACCGCGTGGAAATGAACGCTTCTTTGTTCGGCGTCGTACTTGGTGTTAGTGTTCTTATAGAATTGTGTCTGTTAAGTGTTCAAATGTCTTTCTTTCATTTCGTAATCTTAGATTTTTTATATAAAATTTACGGAAAAAAAGAATTTGGAAATATATAAAAAAAAAAATCGTATTTGTTCAATTTATGCTGATCTTTTAAACGTTTTTCTCTCGTATGTTATTTACGAAAGCTTTTTTTACATGGAAAATAATTTAAATTTTGTAAATGTTATAACGATCGATTTCAACGAAAGACCGTGTTACACTTCAGCTACGTGGTACGGCTGGCATGTGAAAAAATGGCAACCTCGCTCGGTCGAAGACCTGTCATGGCGACAGAACCAAGCCGGCCGGCTGGTACTTAACGGTTTTTTTTTCTATCGACCCATGTTTTCTAACGAAGTGTTGTCGTTAAATATTAAATGTATATTCTTCAATTTTTTTACTTATTTATCGAGAATGTTATTGAATTTTTAAAAGGAAAAGTATTCGAACTTGTATTTATTTAAAAATTTATAAATGTTTTAAACTCTGAGCAGGGCGTGGTCTATCTCCGGCGTCGAGATACACTAGTTGATGCAGCAACGGAATCGAATGCGCAGTTGCGCGCGCAATTGATCCTGTCTTTCTCACTCTTCTTTCTCTCGTCAACATTCTAGAATATACATATTCTTTGCCCGAATCTTTTAGATTCTTCATAAATTCCATGTTTATTTTAATCTTTTTGAATCATATATTTATTACTTACTAATATTTATAATTAATATCATTTTTTTATGGAATTTAATTTTCTTTTTAAGGACATTATCTTAAAATAATCATTTTTTTTTAAATTAAAATTCAAAATTTGTTCAAATAAATAAATTAATGAATAATTTATTTCGTGAATGAAAACATTCAAATTTTCTGATCACATTATATACATAACTATTGTAACGAATAACTTGTGATAGAATAGCGCACGTATAGCAAGTAATGCAGTGTAGTTACGCTCTCATAGTTTTCAAGGTTGTTTCATTGAGTCAATGTTCGCTTCCTAAATTATTCGTTTCTATCTTCTATTATGCTGTCAATTCTTTGATAAAAATGTTTTATGCAAATTTTTTATTCAAATTATTACTCTGTCGTAATTCACCCATCATCGAACGATTGAGTAATAGTTACAATTATCCATTCAGGGATCTTGTAATCCAAGGATATCTTGTGTTACGTAGTATGGTGAAACGTTTCCAAATATAGAAAGAAGATATCCTTTCGCCATTTTCTTTCGTGTTACTTCGACCGGTTATTTTACGTTGGTAACAACTAGATGGATGTAGTAGCCAAGTATCGATCGTTTTTCAGAATGTAAATTTCTAGTCCGCCATTTTGTTTAGACATCATTCGTACTTTGAAAGAATTTCTTTAAATTACTGGCGGGAGAAATTTTTTTTTTATTCTTTTAAAAATATTAAAACGAAAAATTATTACATTTAAAATGATTAAAACATTGCATTAAAACATGACATTTAAAATTTTATTAGAGAATATTGTTTTTTTTTTTTTTTTACTAACTTTTTTTGATATTGATAAATAGACTGTAATTTAATAGATTATTGAATTGATATTGTTTCAATTTTTATTAAAAACATTTTGATAAATATTTTAATTATAAATGAATGAAAATAATAGATTGTATATAATGTCGAGAAAGAATAAAGTGCATAAATCGAGTGTAGTGTTTTATGTTAATTAGACAAGATTGGCATTGCAGTCATCATTTCTATATATAGCGATGACATTGATGACTCATGTTGCTACGACATTGTACATATATCGCATGTACAATGTGTGGTGGGAGGTAGTAAGATTGGACAGTGTTCACTTCCTACTAACGATAGTCATATATGATTATGTTGGCTAATAAACCTATCGTTTCTATATAGGGCATCACAGTTCTCGTAGGCGTGCTATGATTAGAATTAATGGTTTAATTATCAGATAGTTCAATAAAATTGAAATTATTTAAAAATGTGTATAAAGAAGTTATTTAAGCTAGATAATAGTTAAAAAGAAAAAAAGAAGAGGTATAAGATATTTTAAAACGATGTTATGTGTAAACATTACTGACCTAGGATTAAATACTTCTTGAACATCGTGGTAATGATAAAGATTGCTATATTACATAAAGAATTACTTCTTAAATAAATAAGGCAAACGAAATGTAATATTACATGTATATTTCTATTCGTTTTATCTATTATTCGATGCGGCACACTGATTAACTAGTTAAAATATTTATTATTTCTTATCTTCTTTGGAAAGAACTTGACTGTTAAGCCTTTATCTGAATAATAAGATATCTCATAGCTATATCACACTCAATAGATGGTATTCTGAGAACGCATCGATTTCCAGAAATATACTATAAGGTCTTTGAACTATGGAGAGGTACGTGCAGTTGCGCACTAACTAATAGAGAAGGCGCATTGTACCATGCATTATATATGTACTTCGTTGTATTTGCATTCGTTTGTAAATAAAACAACAAATTGACGATGATCGAACATTAATTATTATTAGAATTTGAGCGAAATCGCTAATCTTAATAATTTATATTTGTTTAAAAATATTTGATTAAAAATAGATTTAAAAAAAAAATAATGAATAAATATGCATATTTATTATTATAATTATATATATATATGTAATCAAAAAAGTGAAAAAAAATTTCTATTCTTGTTGTCATAATGGATGCTTGTATTACAACTAATTACATACGAGCTATTCACTAGTGAGGTCATCGAACCGTTCCTCTCGGTCGATAATACGGAAGACTGAAAACGGATGCGAGGGTAATCGTGAAGAGAAAGCATTGACTAACACCAAGTACGATTTTTTTTCGAATAATCGTATTCGTATCAATTAAATTGAAATATTAAATCGTATAAACATTTTTTGAAAAATATATAAATTATTGTTTATTGTAGTTTTGGGAAATCATCAGTGACGAGCATGGCATCGACCCAACCGGTACCTATCACGGTGACTCCGATCTTCAATTGGAAAGAATCAACGTATACTATAATGAAGCATCTGGAGGAAAATACGTACCACGTGCCATCCTCGTCGATTTGGAGCCAGGCACAATGGACTCTGTTCGCTCGGGACCTTTCGGTCAAATATTTAGACCAGATAACTTCGTATTTGGACAGTCTGGAGCTGGTAACAATTGGGCAAAAGGTCATTACACCGAAGGTGCCGAATTAGTGGACTCCGTCCTCGACGTAGTCAGGAAAGAAGCCGAAAGCTGTGACTGCTTACAAGGTTTCCAGTTGACTCACTCTTTGGGTGGTGGTACTGGATCCGGTATGGGAACGTTGCTCATCTCCAAAATTCGCGAAGAATATCCTGATAGAATCATGAACACATACTCCGTCGTACCGTCTCCTAAAGTATCAGATACCGTCGTAGAACCGTATAATGCAACGCTTTCTGTACATCAACTGGTAGAAAATACAGATGAAACTTATTGCATTGATAATGAGGCCCTTTACGATATTTGCTTCCGCACTCTGAAATTATCTACGCCTACCTATGGTGATCTGAACCATCTCGTTTCTCTTACGATGTCTGGTGTTACTACTTGCCTGAGGTTCCCTGGTCAATTGAACGCCGATTTGAGAAAACTCGCTGTAAACATGGTACCGTTCCCTCGTCTTCACTTCTTCATGCCAGGTTTCGCACCACTCACATCTCGCGGCAGCCAACAATATAGAGCTCTCTCTGTACCCGAGCTAACTCAACAGATGTTCGATGCAAAGAATATGATGGCAGCCTGCGATCCTAGGCACGGAAGGTATCTCACAGTGGCAGCCATTTTCCGTGGCAGAATGTCGATGAAAGAGGTCGACGAGCAAATGCTCAACATCCAGAACAAGAACAGCTCGTACTTCGTCGAATGGATCCCGAACAACGTGAAGACGGCCGTGTGCGACATCCCGCCCCGCGGTTTGAAGATGTCGGCCACGTTTATCGGCAACTCGACAGCTATCCAAGAATTGTTCAAGAGAATCTCCGAACAGTTCACTGCTATGTTCAGGAGGAAAGCTTTCCTTCACTGGTACACCGGCGAGGGTATGGACGAGATGGAATTCACCGAGGCCGAATCAAACATGAACGATTTAGTTTCGGAATATCAGCAATATCAAGAAGCAACCGCAGACGAAGATGCGGAATTCGACGAGGAACAGGAAGCAGAAGTCGACGAAAATTAAACGCCTATTCTCTATTCTACTCTACTTACTACCTACGATTCATCCCCTCATCATTGTCCTCTTCGCTCTCGTACTGCTTCTTAACTTTATGCGTTTATGTCTTTCTTTCCTATTCCATCTTTTTTTTTTAATTCTTTTTTACATTCTGTGCAGGCGCGCTTTTTCATCGATATCACTCCTTGTATTATTCGAATAATTCGAGGAGGAGAATACTTTTTTTATCGAACTTTTTTCTGTATCGTTTATTTGTTTCGATTATATAGTTTGCAAAGCGCGTCTTTGTATTCAGTGTATAACCGCTCTAGCGGCTACCATCATCTTGAATAAATTATTATCATATAAGTGTACGGTTTAATAAGAATCCCTTATTATTGTCGTACATATATTTTGTCGAATTCAATAATTTTTATATTTATAAAACTATATTGTAGGTGTACTTGTATTTATATTTGTTCCTTTCATCTATCAATTTTTATACTATGACATACAAATTTGAATAAAGTAGATCATGCATTCAAGCAGTACCAAAAAAAATGTGATTACATATTCAGTTAGCGTAACTAATTTCAAGTTTTATTCAAAAGTAGGTTATAATTTGAATTTCATTTAATCGAAAGTAAAAAGTAAAAAAAAATATAAAGATTTAGAATGTATGTATAAGTAATTAGTAATTGAAATTTTATCTGGAAATAAGAAAGTAGTAGTAAAGAACTTTATTTAATATTGTAAAATATACCACATTTTTTTATGTCGCAAAAAATCCTTTCTTATATTCTATAATGTATAAAGTAGTTTCATTAACATTATTAGGTTGTGTCGCCATCTATTGAATAAAATGATCATGAGCGATTGGAATGACCTCTATTCTAACATTTGGAACATATTGGAATTATTTATGACGAAAACAATGTTAACCTATCTATGTTCTAAATTGTTGAAGGATTTATATTATAATTAATATAAATTTAGATTCTGATCAGTTTGACAAGAAGATTGTTCTATTTTGTCTGTCTATAATATTATATAGATCGAATGATGAACAGATCTCATTCTTTCGAATCATTAAAAAGAATCTCATTTCAATTTGGTAAATCTTATAGAAAATAATGAGCAAAAATAAACGCATAACGAAATTGAATGAATTTTTAACATATTGATTTGTGATTTGAAAATTTGAAAATTTTTTACAATATATTGAAATATTTTTAATTTACTCATACAACTATGATATAGTTTCACTGATGTTAAGTAACGATTATAAGCATTTGTAATCGAATAACGGATTAACATAATACAGTTAAACCAATAGAATCGGAACATGATAGTTTTCCACATTTCAACGTTTAATTGAGACGATTGATACTTTCAAATCTTTTATGATTTTTTTGAAATTAACTAATTAAATAATTTAATAACATGATATATCGAATTAATTATCGTATTATATATTTTTAAAAATAATTTTTATTCGAAAAGCAGGAAACAATTGAAAAAATTTAAATTCATGAGTTGGAATCAACGAATGGACAAGGAAATATACAATATCGTGATGGTAGATTTTCTTGGACTAATTGTAAGTAGCAGACAACGACCTCATATGACTCATCGTCCGGCTATACGAACCGGCGCGGTCGGTGTCTCGCTCCATGAATTTGACTTAACTCGAGACAGTGTCTACCAATTACGAGGTATACTCTATCCTTAATGTAAAAGAAATTTTTTCGTTTTAAAACATGCATTGTCATTTGTATGTGCAAATCGTTTATTTCGTACGAGGATATATCAGGTTACGTTTACAGAAACGAAGAGAAGATAATGGTAATATTTACCGTTTTTTCAATCGATATAGGTATATATGTAGGTAGTATTACAGATATATATATATATATATATATATACACATATTATTTACTCGAATTGTACTACGTACAAAGAATTGCAATCTCTACGAAAACGAAAACAATGTTGAATAGAGAAAGAGAGAGAGAGAGAGAGAGAGAGAGAGAGAGAGAGAGAGAGAGAGAGAGAGAGAGAGAGAGAGAGAGAGAGAGAGA